TACTACTGATTTGTAACAGATTTGGCGATAGTAGAAGAAAAATGTTACAACCTTGCAAAAGGTGTGGGCAAGAAAAAGTGTTACAAATTCTGCAAAAAAGTGGGTGTTAATCATTCGTTGAGTTGAGAAATAGAGTTGGTAAAAAATTGGAAAGAAGGTCGAGAAGAATACTAATTCTATCCTTATGTTCGCACCTTATCAAGTTTCTAGCCAATAAGTGAACAAGAAAAACAAATAAAAATCGTTGAGGATAAGATGAAATGACAGCTCAAACAATGCAAGGGCGGATAGTCAACTTCAAAAATCAGATTTTTTTAGCTCAAAAGCAAATAACAAAGAAAAAACCGCTCATAACTCACCCAGCTCACCTCATCCATAACAGCTGCACAGATCGAGATTAATACACGGACCAATGCTTAGGTTAGTATGTTACCTACTCAGGTCCAATACTGGCAAGCCGATTGCGTAACAATGCGTGCACCGGGACGGTGGCTCAGCTCACCTCAATCTCATCTCAACACCTCCATGTTCCCCCCCCCCCCCCCTCTCAACCTCATCGTTGCACAATAACGAGAACATTATTGCTTGAGGATATTGCGAACAAATGACAATCATGTGGCGCATATTGGAATTTCCACAAAAGACAAGCACGAAAAAAGGCTGCATTAAGCATTTGGAGCATTTTGCGGTAAGCTTGAGTGCTCTATAAAAGAATGGGGAATTACCAGGATAGAGAAAACGAAATGCATTTGCACTGAAGGTATTAACTAGACTGTAATTCTGCATGCAAGCGACTGCATCGACTTTTTTTTCGTTAAAATTGCACAAAAATAAAATTTAGAAAATCGTAATTATAAACAGTGAATAAATTTTTGGATGTGAGATTGACATGCAAAAATTTGCAAGTTACTGACAGACAGCTATAACTGGAAGAGTACAAAAAAGTCTCGAAGGGCTGCGAAAAAAAAACCTGCAAAATTTATGCGAAGACATCTTATGACATTGCACTTCAACAACTTGCAATGGTTGAAAAGATAAAAATTTCTCCAAAAAAACCTTGATTGGTCCACGAATAATTTACTTGCCCAAAACATGAAAGCTCATAAAATCTACCCGAAAAACAAATTTGCTCACAACCAGCTTATCAAGAGTTGACAGATAAAGTCCATAATAATGTATTCCTTTCGATCACAAAACTAGTAAATCTAGCTAAAAAAAAACTTTGTGTCTTGCATGAACATAACATAACATAGGACTAAGCGATTTCACAGCATAATAGCTTCATCGACCATGAAAAATTTGCGAACGAAAAAAACAACGTCGGGTCGACTGTGCGGCGGGTGGCCTGATCGCCAGGTGTAGCGCAAACCACAAAACAAGTTTGCCTTTTTTGCCGAAAAAAATTCTGGCCCTTCAATTTGCACAGGTAGAAGTACCCCTACCTCCAAGCCGGACCCTAGAGCGTAACGGATCCCTGCTGACTCAGCGTATTTCGCCTATTAGTAACGTCCCCCCGATCGCGGGTTCAAAAACTCATTTGCGCTCCTCGGTTTCCTTCGACTTCAATGTGACGGCAATTAGGGGCGCCGGAAGATGCCGAGTTCTTAGCACTAAGCTTAATTAAACTTCAACAACGTTGTTTTCCGGGAGCTTGGTCTCAAGAATCTTTGACTCTTGCAAATACGCTAATGAAACGGAGTTTCTAAGCTCTTGCGACTCTAATAAGCACCAAAATGCTAAACAGTTAACTCTTCAAAATACGTAAAGGGGCAAGGAATGAAAGTGACTCATTCAGAAGATTTCAAAGACATCAAAATCTCTCTGCAAAGGGAAAGAATGACAAGGAGTCGGGCCTGGAGTCGAAATTGCAAAAAATGTACTGTATTTGACGCAACAAAAAAATTAGACATCAAATTTTGAATGGGAAACTGCTCAAAATCAATCTACTTGTACAAATCCGTTAAACGACAATCACAAAAAACAATTGAGTGAAGACACCGTGCTTATGAGAACCGTCTTTTGAGATAAGAATGGAGATTAATGGTTGAAAAAACAAAGTCTCGATATGGGAGAAATCAGCAAAACTGTAAGATTCCATGAATAATTTTGGTAGAATGAAAGTGAGATACTGTGTAAAAAAATAATAGTTATTAGCAGTTTTACTTTCTATCCACACTCAAAAATTTGTAAGCAACCTACTGATTTTACGTAGTAGTGACTGCAGATCTAATTTCTACGCCTGACTATAATTATGTAAGGAAAAAACTCCACATCCCCCTTGCATTCCATTCACAACTCGTCTTGATGCATTTTTCGTAAAGTTTATGTAAATTTTCATCGAACTAATGGCATCGCAATGCAAAATTCATCAAGATATATAGATTCGTGGAAGAAAAATGCCCTTTCACGGTTCATTTCTTGAAAAAGAGATGAGGCGAAATTCGATAAATAAGGTTTTTCGAAGATGTATCACATGAGCGGATAGAAATGGCTAGAAGATGAGAGAATGGAATAGATAAAAAATGAATAAAGACAATAGTTACGGAAAAATTTGGAGACGCTCAAAAATAGAAATACGATAGCTTCAAGATTTTTTTCTGAATTGATTTGAACAGCTTTGATAACAAGCTTTACTGAACCGACAACAGAATTGTTTTGAGTAGTTTTCAAAAACTATAGAGATTTTCTTCCTAAATTCAATCATTTCACGATGAATCGAACCGCATAAACACTAGCATTAGGGCTAAACCAGATAAAATTGTTACAAATATTATAAAATTAAACAGCGTTCACTCACTCAAAATATAAAATAGGCGCGGAGAATAGAGGACTGAAATTAGCGAGAACAAAAATGGTCCACTCGACTACCTATCTATGTTCTGCACCTAATATTTCTAGTAAACAAGTAACCAATTCAGATAGAACTAGAAAATGAAATTGGAAAAATTTGTGTAAATTCTACTACTGATTTGTAACAGATTTGGCGATAGTAGAAGAAAAATGTTACAACCTTGCAAAAGGTGTGGGCAAGAAAAAGTGTTACAAATTCTGCAAAAAAGTGGGTGTTAATCATTCGTTGAGTTGAGAAATAGAGTTGGTAAAAAATTGGAAAGAAGGTCGAGAAGAATACTAATTCTATCCTTATGTTCGCACCTTATCAAGTTTCTAGCCAATAAGTGAACAAGAAAAACAAATAAAAATCGTTGAGGATAAGATGAAATGACAGCTCAAACAATGCAAGGGCGGATAGTCAACTTCAAAAATCAGATTTTTTTAGCTCAAAAGCAAATAACAAAGAAAAAACCGCTCATAACTCACCCAGCTCACCTCATCCATAACAGCTGCACAGATCGAGATTAATACACGGACCAATGCTTAGGTTAGTATGTTACCTACTCAGGTCCAATACTGGCAAGCCGATTGCGTAACAATGCGTGCACCGGGACGGTGGCTCAGCTCACCTCAATCTCATCTCAACACCTCCATGTTCCCCCCCCCCCCCTCTCAACCTCATCGTTGCACAATAACGAGAACATTATTGCTTGAGGATATTGCGAACAAATGACAATCATGTGGCGCATATTGGAATTTCCACAAAAGACAAGCACGAAAAAAGGCTGCATTAAGCATTTGGAGCATTTTGCGGTAAGCTTGAGTGCTCTATAAAAGAATGGGGAATTACCAGGATAGAGAAAACGAAATGCATTTGCACTGAAGGTATTAACTAGACTGTAATTCTGCATGCAAGCGACTGCATCGACTTTTTTTTCGTTAAAATTGCACAAAAATAAAATTTAGAAAATCGTAATTATAAACAGTGAATAAATTTTTGGATGTGAGATTGACATGCAAAAATTTGCAAGTTACTGACAGACAGCTATAACTGGAAGAGTACAAAAAAGTCTCGAAGGGCTGCGAAAAAAAAACCTGCAAAATTTATGCGAAGACATCTTATGACATTGCACTTCAACAACTTGCAATGGTTGAAAAGATAAAAATTTCTCCAAAAAAACCTTGATTGGTCCACGAATAATTTACTTGCCCAAAACATGAAAGCTCATAAAATCTACCCGAAAAACAAATTTGCTCACAACCAGCTTATCAAGAGTTGACAGATAAAGTCCATAATAATGTATTCCTTTCGATCACAAAACTAGTAAATCTAGCTAAAAAAAAACTTTGTGTCTTGCATGAACATAAAATTTTTATTTAAGCTTCCCTCAAAAACTGATTGTACTGCACTTGAAGAAAATTTTATAGCAGGTCTGTAAAACCTTCGTACTGCCACTCATTCGGACAGGAAAAAAAGAGGAGATAAAGCTCTAGCAGCTCTAGTATCTAAAGGACAACCCACTTCAGAGCCCCATCATTATAGAAGAAAGAAAACATTTTCGAGGATGGCTACATCTATACTAGCAAGGTCTAATGATAAACATAATGCTTTGATAAAACTCTATTAACAACAGCAACTATTTTTCTTCGAAATTAACCGCAGAAATCCATGAAAAAGTGATTCGAACAATTTTTAAAGCCCTCGCCCCTTTAATTCTAGAAATTCGCCTCTCGCAGCTCCCTACTTTTCCTTCTTTCCTCCACCTTTCCTCCCTCCTAGCTCACTACTACTATACGACCATTCCACTACTAGGAGTACTAAGATACTCTACTTTTCTACTACTTTCGTAGATTGCTTTCCCGAGAAGTTTCTGCGCAGGAGAACTACGCAATAATTCATGTCGCTACTCTCACGCACATTCGACTCGTCGCTGAATGGTGGATTTTATGTGACAGCCGATCGTCGAAAAAATACGGGCAATCACAAAGGAATTAAGGCACGAAGTCCAAATATGGTAATATTAGTCGCATGAGAATCTAGAGAATTTTTCAGATAAGAGGAAGATCAATTTTCAATGGAAGAAAAAGAAAATGCAGAGAGATAGAAGACACAAAAAAAGAAGGCAGAAATGGGAGGAATAAAAAGGCAAAATATAGAAAAAACTCACTGCTCCATATATCTGGTTTGTGATGACGGTGACAATGTCGATGTGGTCGTTCGTACTGAAATCGGTGTCAAATTATAGGGTGATGTGCCCGGTTCCACCACTCCATAGATTAGGTAGGTATTATCATCACGTCGTGATCGTTTCGGTAGACTACAGTACGTCCTAGTCGCAGCAGGACTCACAATACCTGCCGCCCCGTACATATAGCCGAGGGATGGCGGAGGTACTTCCAGAACAGAAGACGCTAGAGGCGGTCTCGTTTACTACGCGCTCTGGCCACGCCCATTTTCGAAGGAAATGGCCGGCACGTCTTCATCATTGTGTGCAGGGACACATTTCCTCCCCCTTCCCCGCTCCTTCAATCCCCCTTCCCTGTCCCCTCCTCCCCCGCTAATCTGATTAGAACCGCCATGGCGCAGTCAATTGTCACCCCGTTCACAATTGTGCCCTTTAATAAGCATAACTAACCGCACTTCTCTGCATCTTCAAGCCTTTTACATAATTGAGAACCTTTTGGGCGGAGCTAATTTCAACCCCCTAGCAGACTCAGCCATCTGCACTAAGAGTTGCGAAGTGTATCACCACCTTTCGCAACTAGTTCGTGGTCGGTTACATTCGAAAATAAGTGCTGGGAGAACTCGTCCCAGCCCTAATGGACCGCCATAAGTGATTCGCCTTTTTCGAGAAAATACCTTAATGCACATGGTCGCCCTTCACAAAAATATCAAAGGCAGCAAGGCCAAAACGTAGCAGAGATCTTCGAAATGAGCCACTTGGCGAACCAAATTTGACACCCATCTCATTTTCGGCCTGTGAAGAGCTACTTGATGAGCTTTGATTCTTTCATTCGAGAAACAACACAATCACAACCAACCCATCACAGCTTAAAAGAGTTATGAGCTATTTGGGAAAATTAGCAAACGATTGGAAATTTACAATCGTGAATGTATGGCATGAATCAGAAAAGCTGACTATCAGTAGAGAGCTAATATGAAACACTAGGCTTTTTGTAAATTTCAATTTTCTAATGCAGTTTTAATTTTTCTCGCGTGTTTTTTTTTCTCAAAATCATTTAGTACTGCCTAGGGTAAGAGCTTGACCAATAGTATCGCTTCCTTGCATGTTATATTCTCTTAAGCCACGATAACGGAGGTTTCACTTCTGACGCATTGTGAAAATTCTCGCAAAAAATGAATAAGAATAGGAATAGAATTTACCCGTATTGAATGTGAGAAAAGTAAAACGGCAACTCTTTACGGGTAGTTTTTACGACTTTTCAAAATCCTATTTTGCATAGTTTGGCTCATGATTTTGTCACTCCAGTAGGTATCAAAATCTCTTCCAAATCATGTATTTATTGAATTTTTGATGCAAAAAAGTGCACTCTAACAATACACCATAGATTCCTTTACAAAAGTAAATTAGCAAGTTATAGGGTAGGAGAAAAAGCTATGCGTTCATAGATTTACTGGTCTGGTTAGACAGCGCAGAACCGTGAGAATGACATGGGATACGGTCGTGTAGCAGACTTTTTCGTGAGGATAAAAACAAGGAATTCTAGTAAATCGTCAAAGGACCTTTTTAGAAAACTGCCACACAAAATAGGTCGTTCGGACAGGCATCTGAAATTATTACCTTGCAAACTTTATGGCTCAAGTTGTAAAAATCAGGATAATAGTGTTAAAATGGAAGTACTATATTGCTCATAAATCGTCGAAAAAGCCACCAAATTTCCTTGAATTTCACCAAAATCCGCGTCGTATCGCCATAGCTTGGTTCAGAGTGGATGAATATTGAATTGAAAGGCACCGTTCGACTAAGCTTGGTAAGACGCTTTCTGTTAGATATATGAACGTGCCGGTTTGAATACGGCAGGCGGTCAGATTTCATAAATTTTTGTCTAGTAGGTTACACGTGTGCAATTAAAAAGCACACTGAGTACGGAACCATCGTAAGGAATCCAAAAAAAAATTTGACGCCTGCCGTGTACCTGCGGTATACAAATGGGGGGGGGGGAAGTACTTCCATTTCTGTAAAAATGCGCTCACCGGGTTGAGTCGCAAGGCGCCATTGTATTCAAAAAATTCAATCAGTGAACCAAGATATGGCCATGCGACGCGAATTTCGGTGAAAACCAGCTGTGTTCGGTGACTTTTTTGACAACTTTTGAGCGTATTGTATTTTCAGGGTGCCTTTTTTTCTCATACAAAATTCTGCTTTCAAAATTTCATTCACATAATAATACTTCAAATACAGAAGTTAAGTAAATTTTGTAACACCTATTGTAGGGCGTTCTAGGTGAAGAACTTATAGATGCATGAGACTCACTTCAACTACCTGAGCAGATAATGATGCTCACGTACATATCCCTAAGCTATACCCCTAGCAACAATTAGCGTAGACTCTAATTGGGCACCAATAACATTATTAACTCCCTTGATTACTCTCAGCTACTTCGACTTCTGCTAGTCCCACTGAAGTTTGGGTTTTCCTAAATAATCTTCGATTCTACCTGATCCACAATAGCAAATGTTCCAAACATCCCCTCCCCCTCCCTGCTCTTTCTACTGCTTCCTAGACAGTTCAGTTGTTTTTACAATGTCGGCTTGGCAAGGGTTACAAGAACCACTTGTCGCTTCTTGTAACCACATACCCTAAGCCTTTGAAGCGGACCGCCTTCGGGGGAACATTTAGGGGCTTGACATTGCGCAACTGGTGCCGAGTGTACTAGTAGAGTACGCTCGGTACACAATACTTGACCCAATGGTGGTAACGAAAACAGTGGCGAGAAAAGCTACCGGAACGAATGAGGTGATGACCAGCATACCTTAAAATCAAAGTTTTATAAATACAATTTTATAAAACTTTGATTTTTGTCAGAATCTTTTAGGAATTTTAAATCAATGATAAAACCTTGGTTTGTTTTCTATGGAAGAAGTAGAAGGAAATTGCATATGCACCTTACCTCCAATAGATCGCGTCGAAAACTGTAAAAGCACCCTCCGCCCCCCCCCCCCTCCAAATCATCAAAAAAGAAAATTTTCTCAGAAAGTGTTGAAGAAAATATGATTACTGATGGGAAGAGGCCTGAGCCAAGCCCATATCTAAGCGGCAGCTCATGAACTTCATTCATAGCCGGTAAGTTCGACTGTAAACTCTCGCCCATACCGTATTCCTAACGTACGATGCTTTAGTTCGCCCGGAAAATTTACGGTCCGGCCCAGACTTCAAAAGCGTAATTTGCTTATGAATGATTTTGTGAGCTGCCGCTTCAAAATTGGCTTGTCGCAAATTTTTTAAATGCTTCCAAGATTTTCGCCGAAATTATTTCATCTAGCTCTATATATATCGTAAGACCAAATTTTCTAAAGCAAAAATCATCTAACTAGAAGGCTTAAGATTTCTAATCCTTCAAGCTAACATTTGGTTCCTCTACAGTAAGATTGCACTTCTAGCCTAATAAATCAATACTCACCTGATCCACTTGGAATATAGTATGCTCCATCGGCATTTTTGTGCAGGATAGTTTGACCCTCGGCTAACGATGTCCAATCGTCCAAGGCTGGTGCTAATGGTTCACGTACCATTCCCGAGCGGCGCTAGAAATAATCAGAGTATAAGGTCATAGACACCAAATTTGGCAGAAAATGAATCAATCAATAATCGATTCTAAATATTCGGAAAAGAAAACAGAACGCATTGTTGAGATAAACTTCTGCAGCAACAGAGCAGAATCTGCAGATTTGCGGGGGATGCACCTGGAGAAGGTCATTTCGAAGACAAAAAACTGTTCTGTTATTGAACAAAAGGATTAAAGGGACAAACGAACAGCGTAAACACAGAATGGTGGCGCTGCCGAAGAAGAAAAGAAAATGTGAAGATTACGCAGAGTACATAAACATAGAAAAGCACTTGTGGCTTCCATCTGTTATTAATCAGTAGGGGAAGGAAAGGCGGGGGGGGGGAATGATTTATGTAGTGCACGGAGTTTTAAAACATTTCAGTAATAGGCAAGGAGCCCAGTAACCTAGCGACCAGGTAATTTCGGGGAAAATGTTTGAAGAGACAAAATGGAATTTCGGAGGCACAAAGAGAAAATTGCACATTATTCATGGAAAAGTGAATTGGGGAAATTTGAACGGAAATTTCGGCAAAGTAACATAAGTACGTTCGCGTTTGCTTTAAGACCCATGCCGATGCATGTGCATGTCAAACACAAATTATGAAAATAAAATGTCATTTCAATCAAAAATTCTGCAGAAGTATCACCTCAGACATTTAGCAAAAGGTGCAAGAATTTTTTCAGAGCCTTCACTGGTAAAATCGAGTTTTATCCAAACAAGAAGAAAAAAGCTTACAGGCTTAGCACATTACCCACAAATGGCTACAATTACATCTCACCTAAGCATCAAGAACAAGTTCTCTTATGTCACTTAGGCTGTCAAAACAACCTCATGAGTCTCCCAAGCATTCGACATAATGGGCACAAGAGCTCGGTGGAAAAAAAAGTAGAAGTAAGGTATGAAGGTATAGGGACTTAGAGTGGTGGAGGTGGAGAAGGGGAGAGGGGGGGGGGGGGGGGAGAGAGAAGAAAATGCTCTTGCATATGCTCACACGGTTTTTTTTTTTCAAACTCAAATTTTGCATCTTCCATTTTCTACCAGTATTTGATCAGCCACCTTTGAGTTTGAAAAAGTATTGTGGAAAAAAAACAAAAAATTCTCTTTCAAACTCACTCGAAAAGTGGCTAAAAACAATTTGTTCTGAAAAAATCCAACATAATCCATGAAAAACTTAGAAAAACCTGTCATTTTGGACTTCAGATAAATAATGGGAAGCAAACAAGAAAGGTACTGCCCTATCGAAGGATTCTAACAGTATAAAATCACGCTTTCGGATTTTAACATGACTAATTTGTTTAGTTTACAAAAGATATTTGTAGACTGATATAAACTCGAATAATCTCACGGTGGTTCGAAAAAACTTTTTAAAGCGAGAAGCTTTGATTTTTTTTACAACTCTTTTTCCAAAAATTTGAGCTTTTTTTATAGCTTGGGCTAGCCCCCCCCCCCTCTTTGATATGTTTACCAGTAACGAGTGGAAGAAACCAGGAAGAAAGAATCTGTATAAATTTGAAATAAGGCTTTATTTCCGCCGTTCTAAAAATTATAAAAGTAGAAATTCTGAGTACCAACCTGTTGTGACAATGACATTTCGTACGAATTATATTTCGGCGGTGGTACCGTTGTGCTAGTGGTGCTAAGAAGAAGATCTCGTGATGACAACTCTAAAAGCACAAACGACGTGTCCGAGCCTGATTCATTCCACAACAAAAACGCTTGTCAGGATGCACATCAAAGCCTTTGCAACGCGAGAGCCACGCCATGTTATGGATAGTGCACGCTATTGTACGCTTTTTCAATATTATGGTACGCGGTTGCGGACGTATTAGAACCACTCACCTCGGTCCCTGATATCTTCGGGATCTTCATAATTATTCTCGTAATCATGGTCACGATCTGGTGGATGTGGCGGCATCCATGCCGGTGGTGGTCCACGCATTTCTACTGGCGTGCACTCGGATGGATGAGGTAACGATGGAGTTGTCCCTGTAAGAATACGAAATTTTACAGGGTTTGATTTGCAACAACTGTGGATTACGGTAGGGATACGGTAGGATTACGGTACAGATAAGGAAGGGTCAAAAACTGCTCAAAGAGTGTCAGGGAGTCACAAAGCAGCTTTTATTCCTACAGATATGCGAACTTTTAAAAACTGGGGTACGGTAGGACTATGGTAGGATGTGGCAGGCTTACGATACAGATAGCCAAAGTCCAAAAAGTGCCAAAGATCCAGGAAGTCACACTGTAGATGCTTTACCTAGCAATTACACAAATTTGTGCGGAGTTTCGACGACTGATGGCTAAGGCAGGATTACGGTAGGATCACGGTAAAATCACTCAAAATAGAAGAAGTGCTGCAGGAGTTCCAAAAAGATGCATTGCCCATTATTTCTACAGAATCACATAAACTTTCAACGACGCAAATGACGATAGGATTACTGTAGCATTACGGTAAAAGAAGTGACTGCTAAAACATGTTGGCATTGTGCCAGGAAGTCATTCACTGTGAGCTATGTTCCCGAAATAACACAGTTCCATGTATCTGTGAACACCACGCCCATATCGGTTGGACGAAGAGGTCGCGATGTCTATCGACAGTGCGGCACTGTGTGACCTTTACTAGTATGCAGCTGTTAGGTAATAGACACCAATGAGCTCCAGTTCTACAATAAGTCATTAGAATATGGGAGAAGGCAGAAAAATCGCTACATAGAAAAGCCGAAACGTGAATCAATAAAATCGATGTTCGACTGAACTTCGGTAAAAACAAATTCTCCCGCCACGAATGTGCACACGACCTCCGTAACAAAACGATTCGCACTTGCACTTTCCTCCGCGATTTATGAACCCATCACATACGGCGATTACGGTCACTACGTCCAGTTATCGTACTGCCTTAGTTACGCAACGCTATGATAGCGCCAGGGTCGACTAATACGATGGTTAAATGCGTTACCGATCGTGTGAATATGTCAGTCAAGATCCTTTGAGAAAAAAATTCAAAAACACGACTTAGAATTTGATAATTCGTAACCTCATTGTGCAAATGCACACAACATTCATGGTGCGCGTAAAATCCTGGGTCTAATTGTACGGATTCTTCTGAGTCGATGCTTTTCAAAGCGTTTCCTTCCATAGTTTTTGCTCTTTCAATCTCATTGAACAAACAATCAGTGATAGTTATAAAAAAACCAAAAACAAGCATAAATAGTTGAGAGATTAGGGATGCAAAATGGATGGTGTGTGCAAATGCACACATTCTTATGAAATGAAGCAACTGTAAACCCCTCAATAATTTCGAATGCACATTTTCTGCAAAATTTCGAAATCCTCTTCAAAGAAAGTGTGCACTCTTTGCACGTTCTCATGTTTTTATTGTATGAGCATGCTATAAACTCTACAGCGCGATGGCGTAATCATGACCTTTTCCTTGAACATCGATGATAAGGATACAAATGTCATCATAGACAAATATTACAGAATGCCTGCTACGTGGAGGTAATCTCACTTCTTCTATTTACTTTGCTACAAGGATGAGCAACAGGTGCGAATGCGAAAGGACAAGGGATACAATGCAAAGTTATGTTACAGCCTAGCCCGAAATATAATATTTGACCTTCCGATGCCGACGCATTTTTGCACAGCTTTTTAGCACGTCCTTGAAGGTCAATTCATGACTGCTTTCTTTATAGAGACATATGTTTTCATCAGTGGCGTACCCAGGATTTCGGCTCGGGGGAGGGGGGGGCGCGACAAAAATTTTTTTCTAAAGAAGGTGCGTGGCGTTAGCCACGCACTCCGAAAAAATTTTGGGGGTGCTTCTCAAAATTTTTGCGGGTCCCCGACCCCTAAAATCTAGAAAAAGGGGTCGTGGCGTCAGCCACGCCCCCGAAAAAATTTTTTTACAAGGCTAATTTAAATTTTTGAAAATTTTTAAAAATTATTTTAATTATTTACAAAAATAAACAAGTCACTTGCACATATTTATAACCCATATAGGTAACTTTCAAAAATTTCGCGACCCATTCTCGGGGGGGGGGGGCGCGCGCCCCCCCCCCCCCCCCGCCCCCCCCCTCGGTACGCCACTGGTTTTCATGTATGACAAAGCGTGTAGTACACTCTATGCGGCTCTTCAAGGTACAAATACGAAAAATTATGAAGGAGTGGGGACTCTTTGGAATCGCAGCCCAGCATAAAGTGCATAGGGGACCAGTTCTCGTCTGAAAGCTTAGAGGTGTATATAATGCTGAAAATCTAACAAAATAATAGTAATTCATCCCAACTACCTCAGTAGAGCAGAGTCAATTTGACTTATTCGGTGCGTTGCAGAATGCGCACAGTATTCTACGACTTGCATCCCAAATACAGTTGCCTTTTCTTCTCTTTTTTTTCTTAGCTCAAACAGCTATGAAACAACGTTGGACAGAAAAAAGGAGGGCAGCGAGATGGGGAGGGGGGGGGGGAATTTTTATAGGTGGACGAGAATTATGAAATTTTGCAGGTAATTGTACATATTTGCTCAAAAGAATTCCTTGGTTATGAAATTTGGAGCCTTGTTAGCCTTGCAAAAATCTTGCGAAGCCTGCTGTGGGTTACAAAGCTACAAAAACCAAACCAAGCAATCCAAAAATTGCCCCCTCTTCAATAAATTTTTGAGTTTCGCTGCTTCACGTAACCGCGCTATTGAAAAGAGAGCACTAGGTATACGACAGGTGGGTCCCAAGAAACGCGAACATCGTTCCAAGCTAACGCAGAAAAACTCGGAACTTCGCAGCTAATCTCAAAACAACGCACAAATGCACTAATCCGTACGGCTGACTAAACAACACGAAATGTGTGTGTACTGCACTTTTACGTTAACGTACACACACAATCGCACACACTTCGCGAATCAAGAGAGCCACTCCGTTAGCTGTGTGTGTGAATTCAATCACACCGCCAGCATAATCAAGTACCTCTCTACTACTTGGTGCCAATCTGTGTAAATCTCCTAAAACTCGGAGCTAATTGCGCAGCCAGGATGTTGCTGTCTAAGAAAAGCGGGTTCTCGAAAATCGGGCTTTTCGCACTTTAAACGATAGTCTAAAGTGCATGATATAACAATCCTTTCAGGGAGAAACGGATTGCCAAAGTTTTTTCTTTCGCGACGTACTTATGGTGACAAAATCGTCGGAATACTATTACTTTGTTTGAAGTAATTATTCAAGAGCAACGAGTCTTAACTTTGACAGTCAAGCTTTCGGATTACATCTCAAAATTTTGGAAAAGCTTTGCTTATTCGGTCGCGAAGTCGCGACAAAACCATCGGAATTATTGTGATTATCAAAAAATGTAAAAAATGTACATAATCGCAATTAACTTATCTACTTTTTTATTTTTTTATCAATACTGTCAATAAATGCGGCATAATGGGAAGGAGAAGAGCGCGAGCCCTAGAAACCGAAGAACTGAAAAATCATTTTCAAATTCAAATCTAAGGTGTAAAACTAATAAATGCTTATAGACAAATGCACTCCTTTCAAGAGACTCCTGCTGGAAGATAATGAAAAGTCGAATCTATCAAAGTCACTGATTACAAAAAGGATCAGTTGTTCGTATATAAGGACTGAAATTTAATCAATGAAGTGGCAAGTTTAGAATCTTGAAGCTTGCAAAAGCAAAAAAAAACGAAGCAAACCATTTGTCAAATCAAAAAAGGTTTTCATTCGCGTATACAAATCACGAGATTGCAAATAAATCTCGAAGTTTTTTTTTCGTTATTTCTAATTTCCAAAGTAAAGCAGGTTGTATGAAGGTGCACATGAAATCGATGCTACTGAAAGGGGCATTCTTTTATAGGAAAAGCAAATATTGGAAGTATGGAGTACTCTTGACATAAGGTTGAAATACAAAAAATATGTTGGATCACTGACCGCTGCAAAAAAAACTGGCGATAAGCAAGAAGCCAGATAATGGACGAATTGAGCGGAGACCACTTCTCGTAACGCTATTCGCAATGATCACATCGAATAAGAGGTAAGTGCTTGTAGGGTTAAGAGATAAAAAGTTTTGGTTACAAAATCACAGAAAAATTGAAGCCAAAGCAAAGATAACCGGAAACTTGATCAGGGACCAGTTCTCGCACCGTTATTTGTAATCACATTAGATCACCAAAAAGCAAGTTTTTCTAAGACTATGTGTGAAATATAGATCACAAAATCACTGCAAGAAAAACTGAGCCGAAACCGAGATGTGAGCCAAGAAGTTGAACGGGGACCAGTTCTCGTGGTCATACTGACCAAGACAATACAAGTAGCCCAAAAACCACTATAATCAAAGCCTTCAAGAAACGTTACGTTACGTGGCTCTTGCAATGTGCAAAGTGCATCAGCTGCTCGTCTATAAAAAGAAGCACCCGACAAACTACGCTACGTTGAGAAACAGATGTGCACGTTTTGTGAAGTTTGAAAACACAATAGAACGTAGCGTAGGCATGCGCGTGAACTCGTACATGTTGGTAGCATTCTGCCAAAGATTTTTTGTAAACAGCGATTTGAAAGTACAAAGAACACTTTGATAACAATTCTAGGGTCTAGAATGGCTCAGTTTAGAGTTCAACCCCTACCTAGGTATACAGCTGATGGACGATGCGGATGCAGTCAGCAGTAACGTAAACAAACTTCTCGTTTATCTATGCAAAACATGGCTTCCGCGCTCAAGAGTCGTCTCGGCGACAAATGAACCTGGATTAGCAATTCATCCCGTAACTTGACCAAGAACAACAACCGCTTTCTACTCCCCCCCCCCCCCCACCCCCTCCTCCTTTCCAAGAATGTTAACGATTTTTTGAATGGCCCAAAAACTGTATAGGTGACTTGATTACGTTTGTAAACAGTTGCGATGATTTTAAAAATATCAAAAGAGGTCTGAAAACTTCCCAGGAGCGGTGCCGCCTACAGCAAAAAATTTCTGCCACATCACCACACCTGAGAATGCTTAAGAGTCGC